AATTTAAAGTTCAGTTCAGGTTTAATTGAACTTGAACCTGAACCTAAATTGAACTGAACTGAACTTCGGAACACTAGGGCACACTACGCAGCCAGAATTTTCTTCATTAAATACACAACAGGAATTCTAGCACATATCTACAAGTGTTGGTTTAATCGGAACTATCCTACTGAAAATGCTTTGAAGTTTATATAGAGATATCTCTGAAAGTCCAAATATTTCCATAATTTCATTAAAAGCTTGATTCGATAAAGTATACTTGTTTTTGACATAAAGAAGACGAAGTCCCTTAATAATGTCATCTGTTAATTCTTGGATTTTTTTTAAAAAAAGCATATGTTAATATTAAACATTAAATATAAATACAGTCTAACCTATATAGCCACAAATTATAAAAAAATTACATTTTTTTGTTTACCAATAATTGTAAAACATAAGAAAATTAAACTTTGCACAGACATTATCACCTTAGTCACATTGAGTTTTGGATACCAACCCAGTGATTATATCAAGGTTAGACTATATATACTAATAGAGCTCTTTATCAGAAGCCTTACTTACCAATTTCAGGAATAGGTCTATCGTTACTATTCTCTTCATCTAGTTCAGAACCTTGGTCATCACTATCAAATTCCATAAAAGTTTTATCCGTCAAGATATCAGATGTTTCGTTGGAAGAGTTTAATAATATAAAAGGCAACGATTCCTGTTCATTAACATCATTAAGTTCTAACTCCATTTTGTCAGCTTTTTCAAGTTCCAACTCATCGGCTTCTTCAAGTTCTAATTCCGATGTATTTTTATTTTTTAAAAGGCTACTTAATGTAGAAAACGAGAAATTAGAAGTGAATTCAGGAATATTTGTTTTATGGCTTTCTAATCTACTATCAGTTGGCATATCATAATTGGATATATTTGAAGTCTGTATATTGGTTAACGGAATGCCATGTAATATATTCTGTGAACTTTGAATTTCTCTTTCTCGTCGTCGATGTCTGGTTCGGGAAGAGATGCTTACGAACTTTCTAGCATTACTGCTTTCATTTCTACAAAATACACAAACACAAAGAACTAGCTTTTCCACCACTTTAATTAAATAATTAGTTAGATTACTAGACAATAAATGATGTGAAATTAATAAATAAATAACAATCTCCTTGATTGTGCTTCAGGATTTCAATACTTTTGTTGACAAAATACAGGTAAATCTTAAAGTTTATATTACTTATTACTAGTTTTGCTTATTTCTATCTAATGATTCCTTTTATTTGTCAATCTCCATCAACACCTTTCTCCTCTTATGTACATATACAGATCGTAATACAAGTCACATATTCACTTTATTACATTAATTTGAAAAAAGAACCTTTACTTATTGTGATTATTTTTCTTTTATGATTTTTTTTAAACTCATTATTATTGTGATGCAATAATCAATGATTGTCTAAAATGGCAATGATTCATGCAAATATTAAAATAAGCTTGCATGCATAAATCTTGATCTATCTGATAATGGGTATATCACTTGATCATAGTTATACAAACTACAATCAGATACGCATCAATATTGAGTAGTTGGCTTCTTTTATCCCAAATAACATAAAAGTCTTTAAAATATTAAATTGTTGACCTTTTTAAAAAATAAAGATATCTTGCTCTTTCTTCATTTACACAATACTTAAATATTAACATTCACTCTGATTTGCTCATAAAATATGGCTAACAATTCAAACAATACAAGCGACTATAACAATACTATTGAAACGAACCCAAATATTGTGTTACTTCTTCGGTTATTGTCAAACCCCCACCACCAAGGATTTATTTAGCTAGTGTCTAGATGCATTCCCGGACAACTAAAGGATTCCCTATGAGCCAA